TTAGTGAAATGGTTTTACTGTAAATCTCACCATATGAAATACTTTACCAGCAAATTTTCGAGACAATAGAATAAATGATCGCAATCTGTCTGCTAAATAAAATCACTCTCATCATATGTTAGTTGTATCGGTTTTTATTTCTCTTCCGAGGTTGCGTCCAATATGCTTACACCTTTAACTATATTCTACTTCACTACTGAAACTATAGGAACGTTAAGTGCTAATTCATCATTGTTACAGTGCCTTCCCCTTCTTGCAAATATTCTTCACTTACATCGTCTGTGATAATTTCAACCAATTTACGGAAGGTTTTGTTAACAAATCTCCACATCAGTATAACTGTCCAACTATCATAGAAATTATTACTGTTCTTCTGTGATGTCAGTTTACGTTTTATATTCTCCAGTTGAAGATCAATTTAATTACTCCGTAATGGTAACGGAAACCAGCTTGGATTCATTCTTCACACAAAGCATGAATATCCTACTCTCTTTATAAAAGTTCCGACCAATACTTCACATTGTTTTAATTCATATTAAAAATGTACTCCCCAAACAGTTGGTGAATTATAACTCTTCAAACAATTAAAAATCATATTTATGTTTGTTTTACATTTAACAATGATATCCGAGTCAATCTGATCATGATCTTAAACTGAAATTCCTTCTATAGTTTTATTTCCAAGTCAGTACTTGTTTAACATTCTTTATGAATTCGTTTGCAATTAAATATCTTAGAAACAAGAACAATTTTAACACAATCTATCAGCTTAAACTAATTCTATACCACTATGTCAACATTATTTTCCCTTCTGACACTACCTTAAGAGTCCTTGTAAATCGTCCTCTTATTGTGAAATTACAGGAGTATTAAATATGGAAAAATTTTTATAAGGACTTAAAAATAAATCTGAACCCCTTCCTTATCTTCCCTCCAGTTAGATATGCTATTATGAACTATATAACTGGTCTGAAACTGCCTGGCAATGAGTTATGTATTAACGTATACTGGATCCTGGAAGTTAATCTGTTATGTTATTATATCGAAAAGGCATAACCGACTTATTCAGCATAAAATAATTCAGAATCTAAGTATCATCAAAAGAATTGGTTGAAGATTTCTTATGGGTGGATTTACTTTACATTAATTACGCCTGTTATCCATGAATGGAGGGAGGAGACCACCGACCAGTATTCTCCGACCTACTCTGTGATCGACTTCGCCTTCCAGTTTTATCCAATTCTTTTTCATCCTCATCATGTCTGTCTCCATTTCTCTGCTTACTGTGTTCTTTGGTCTTCCACTTCTCCTTTGACCTTGAAGATTTCAAGTGAGGCCTCATCTTGTGATGCATTTGGGTGCTTTCCAGAATGTGTGTCTTAGCCACTTCGAGCAACTCTTCCCAATTTCTCCCTCCAATGGAATCTGATTTGTTTTCTTCCACAGCAGGTTGTTGTTGATGTTATCTGGCTAACGGATCCGAAGTATTTTGCGAAGACAACTGTTAATGAATACTTGTGTCTTTTGAATGATGGTTTTCGTGGTTCTCCAACTTCCCGCTTCATATGGTAGAACTGTCTTAACTCTTAGATTGAAAATGCTGACTTTGGTGTTTGTCGATAGTTGTTTAGGGTTTCAGATGTTGTTCAATTGTAGAAATGGTGATATTGCTTGGCCGATCCGTGCATTAACACTTGTGACAGGTCCACCTTGTTCATCAAATAGGCTGCCCAGATATGTAAAGGTTATAGCATCTTCCAAAGATTCTTCATCAAGTGTGATCTGGTTGTTTCATGCTGTGTTGTATCAGAGAATCTTGCTTTTCCCTTTGTGTATGTTGAGACCTCTCCACTATGTAGATCGTGAAGGGCCTGAAACCTATTGCTAAGGGATATCTTTTGTTCGCCAGTATTCCGAAAAAGGGCTAATTAGTTTTATATTCAACCCTCTTCCTGTATCCTGGCTTGTGACCGACAGTAACTCATATTGGCTTCCAGCATTGAAACCTCTATATAATTGTAGACGTATTCGCTATACTAAACTGAAGTTAAATTTTTAACCTAAATATAAATATTTGAAGGCTTAAAGATTTAGTTAGTCTGTAACAATGAATATATATATATTATTATTTAGTAGTATTATTTATCATAGGCTATGGAAATTTAAAAAATAAGTATCATTTTCTAGGCGTAACTTGTAGCGAAGTTAAGTTCAATCTAAGTCAAACCTTTGCATTCGCATGGAAGAGCCATAGGCTGTAATTATTTCCATAGAGGTATTTTAGTGAATTGAAAGCTTTTAGTTGTTAAAATTAAATATACGAATAATGAAATCATCTATTTAAATAGCATATGTAGTATTTATACCAGCATATATTATTCACTAAAGGAACATATTGACATCCTGACGTGGTTTAGTGCACTGACAATGAACACCTACACAAACGAAATTGTTGGTTAGATAGTGTATGTCAAAACAATTATGCTAGATTTGTGGTAATTTCATTTAGTAGGTACACATCATTATTCTACGTCACTTTCCCTTTCAGAATAATTCAAACCATACCCAGATCTTGGTACTGATTGTATTGGATTTTTATAGGGGATATTAATTTCTGATACTCATCAATTTAAAATGGATTTCTAAGTGATCATTTAACCCATTCATTTCATGTTCCCTATCATAAAAATTTAAAATTACACGCTAAATGATTTTAACACACCTAGATAAGGTTTTCCTTTCTAGTTAAAAAAAATAGAAGGCTAACCTAAACACCTGTTTTCTTGTTATAGACTGTGACTTTTTTTTATCATTCTTTGATGAAGCTAAAATTCCAACTTCTATTAAAAAGCATTAATTTACATTATACTCTATAGTAAAATATTTCTGAAAGTAGCCTAAAGATGCAGGCATCTAGCAAAAAGATAGAAGACTTAAAACACAAAATCAAAATAATTATGAAAGTTTTGAAAATTTCTTCCTTCCAAATTGTAATACTTAAAGTGTCAAAACTCAGACTGCAGATTTCATAATACAACAATTACGGAAAACATTTTTCTTACTGTCAATTTGTCAAAATTTATTCACCTATCGAATCGGTCAATTGAAATTCGAATAGTGGCGAAAAAGTTCACTTTAATCTACTTACAGGATATCTAAATTACAAACTGGATGCTACTGTATTGAACATTAAGCAGTAAGACAGAAAAATCTCTGTTGTATAGGATTTTTTGTTTCTGAAATAATTATATAATGAAGTTCTTTTTTTTTTATTTCTTTCAAAATAATAAGATATAATTCTCACTTCTATGCTAAAATCATGTACTTTGCCAAGTATAAATTAAAACATCCCAATACTAAAAGAAACACATATAGAAAAATGATCCATTTAGTCTATTTTAACTGAAAACTAATTAACTGTTTATTCCTATTACAAGTAAGGCATATGTTGACTTTATCTGTTGATAAAGATCAAATTGTAACTAAATCATCTACGAAATCATAGTTAAAATAATCATTTAAAGGGTGTAAGAAAAATAATTATAAATTGAAGAAGTAATCAAAATGTAAATAGTACTATGCTTCAAAAAGCCTAGTTAAAAAGGCTTAAACTTAACAATAATATGATTAAAATGCTTTTAGTATGATGAATTTTCTACGGTAAAAATTTACACGTCTTACTGTTATTTCATCTTGAGTTTATTTTTAATTATTTAATTGTCTTCATTATGTGATTTGTAACATTGACATGCATGTTTGCAATACAAATTAGTTATTAATTTTTATTGTTAGTTGGATATTTTAGTGTGGGTTTAACATTTATTTGAGATAAAATCAACTTTATACTTGCTTTTGTTTATTAAATTGGTTTTATCGATTCATATGTTGAGACAATTGGTGTCATAATGAATTAAATGACAGTTTACTTCAGTTGACGAATCCACCCAAATGTTGAAAAAATAATTACTTTACAAGAGACTAATTTTTTAAAAATGATTATTCATGAGTTTATTGTAGTAGACAATTAGTCAACGATTAGAAAGAAGCATATCGATTTTCAAGACATTTTAATTAAGTCTAGTAGTCCCATAAAAAAAAGTAGGGCTAAACTACCGACATTTTAGTGAGCAATTTTTAGCAACATCCAACCCTAATCGGCACTATTATAAATGAAATTAGGAAGACGTCAGTCAAGAACATTGGTTTTTGGAGTGTTAATTACACAAATATTTAGAGTTTAAACGCAGGATCTAACAAACTTTCATTAGTTCAGTTCGCACTATCCGAAAAGCCTAATTTTCTCTCCGATGAATCTCGCCAACAGTATAAAGACTATGCTTCATTTAGACAAACCTATTTTGTGTTTTGATACGTGCCAAAAAAACAGACAGATACACTATTTTTTGATTTTTGAAGCTGATTAGTATGTCTACATATTAGTGAATCGTTTAGCTATACTATTTTTTGAGTTTGTTAAAAACTTTTGTATTATGAAATAATCATAGAGACTTCCGGAACGGTAGATGTCATGGAAGAAATTGATAGGCGTCTAATTGTATTAAGAATAGAATCAAGTAAACATTGTACTTTGTTGTATTTTAAACAAGTGGTCTAAAACAATGCGTCTAACTCTCGAAGTATCTAAGCTTGACTCTTAAGGAAGCAATGGTTGTTAAGCGCCAAACTGTTTAAATTAGGGCTAAACATCTATTCACTGTATTCTATTTCTCAGTTGTTCTCTGCTAGAAATAAATCTTTGAAATTCATTTTCGAAATAGAATATATGTACTAATAACTAAAGGGAAGGGCGTTATGCAACTTTACAGATTTCGAATTATAAAAACTTTAATAATAATCTATAGCATAAAACCAGTGTATTTTGTTAATGACCTAAACTTTTACTTTGCTTAAACGTTATCCCTATTCTAAGATCAATAAGTTTTGAATACATGAAACACACATTTTATGCCGTACCCTAAAAAGACGTTGGGACAAACACGTTTGTATCAGTAAAATTTATTGAACAGCAAAATAAATATGAAAGAGTTACAAATAGTTTTTTTTTTAATAAATCGGTATATAATAATACATTTGTTTACAAAAGTGAAAAAATAAAGTACAACTTCGTAATATTCAATTAAACTAATAATAAAGGCATAGTTTATCAAATCGTAATGATTTCCATACATTGATTAATAAATGTGAATTACCTTTGAAATGTGCTGTGATAAATGGTCGTCGAATATCAATCATGCTATTTGATGGTAAGATATTTTCTAAATGAATAATTGGAATTTTTAATTTCTCCAAAATAATACCAATTAAAACATCGTCAAATGGAAACAGTCTCATATGACGCAATTGCTCATTCATGGTAATAATAACCGGCCTACTAAAGATCATTGTTCCACCAAGTGGATAATCGGGATACGAATCAAATGGATAAATTTGTCTGGATATAAACCATTTACTATTTAAAGCACGAAATGGTTTGGCATTTTTAATCACGTAACCAGCAACCAATTTGGAATATTGTGTCTTTGTAATGCTTAAAAGAAATTTCGCCAGATTAGCTGGATTCACAATAAAATCTTGATCAATGAAAATAACAAATTTCGCATTTGAACAATGAAATGTAGCATAATATTCAATGCTTCCAATAAGTTTTCTTGTTAAATTATAATAACTTTCAATAAAATTAAACTGAAGAATATCATGATATTGTTCGTGTTCAACTAATAATTTCGATTGTATTGTAGCATTGATCCAATTCGAAGAGTTTTCTCTGCCTAATGTGAAATAAATATGTGGTCTGATGGTATATCTAGTGTAGCATTGGACATTGGCCCATGTATTTCGTAATGATCGACGTAATTCGAATTCATGAACTGTTGATTTAATGAATATGATAATATTTGTTAAATTTTTATTTGTTATAACATCACAATGATTTGATGGCAATAAAACTGGTTCAATATAATTTGTTTTGTTTGTTTCAAAATATTGATAATATTTTTGAGAATATCGTTTGATATTTTCTTCAAAAAGTCCTGACTGACTCGGTGTATTCACAATGCTAGTATGATTACTAATGGCTGCTGATTTTTGAGAAATTCCAGGCTCTTGAGACACCACAGGCAAGTGTTTTATATTGTATATGAAAATTATAGTACACAATATGATATTTAAAAAAAATAAGATAATACAAATCTGGAGAAGCCGTTTCAAAAATAAGTATATAATGAAATATTTGATATTTTGTTGTCGATATAGACGTCTGCATAGTTGAATAGCAGTAAACATAATCCAAAGATTAAATCTGTTGATCTTCTGAACAAATTGCGCCAAACATCATTTGTTGATGTGAAAAATTTTCAAAAGAAACCATTATCGACTTGTATTTTCTTAAATGGTGCATCACAATAAATGAAAACTATTTCTATTTGAATGTTAACAGAGATATTAGAAGCGGTAGTCAATGATGAATGGAGGCTTACAGTTTTATTGAGTGGAGAAGGCACAAAGTTTTGTTGGTCAAGTAGATCAGTCTATCTGTCACGCATGACATTCCAAAGTTAACTGAAGCATGAAATGCTAAACGATTGCAAATGATGTTTCTTAAAGTTGACTAAGGTGACTGTAGAATGATCTGAAACCTAAATTTCAAAAACACCATTAATTAATTTAAAATTTGTAAGACATAAATATAGTTAACCAGAGTTTGAATAACAAATATTCACGAATAACATGATAACAGAATTTTTCAATTCAAATCTCATAGGCTCAAAGGTAAATTTAAAAATTAGTGCTTAAATTCGCCTTTAGACTATTACTTGATTATTATTTAAATGTCACCTGATATAGATGTTTTGTGAACGTCTTAAGCGGTAGTTGGAACAAATCTATCAACAAACCTATAAGCATTTTTGTAGATAGTTGATCATTGTGAAAGAGCAATAAACTTGATCAATAATAGTCGGACAATGTTTTTGAGCTATCAACATTGAAAAATTTTTAATGGTGAATTTTATTCCTAATGGTATCATTATGTCCTATCAGGTTCACAATATCATGGTAAAAACATACAACTCTGGTGAACGTTACTCAATGTTTACAAAATCAAAACACTCCCGTGTGGCAGATGTTTATGAGTAGGCTAGGAAGTTATTCAGCAGACATTAAGGGAATATAGTAATTCATAATTCTAGCAGCTAACAATTTGTTATCAGGAATGGTTTGATTAAGTTGCTTGCTGAAGTTTTAGTGACTAATAATTCAATTGTAAACGGCTCATTGTTTGTGAATTTAAAGAAATCTATCATTAGTTTTAATTGAACACTGATCATCTAATCTAATCTAATCAGTCTTATGGAATCAATTTCTAATAAACATTTAAACGAAAGTATCAAGCAGTCAAACTATGTAGCAAAAGTATGGGTTTAAAAAATAATCAATCTTCTTTAGTCTCATCCATACATTGAAACTGTTTTACTTACAATAATATCGGAAACTATAATGATCAATAATTAACCAGTAACACACGTCCTTTTTAAAACGATCTAACGTGACTATTTTGAGCATCATTATCATGCATAATTAAATCGTTGAACAATAGATAGATGAAAAATTAAATCATTCACTAGTCCATTATTTAGTTATCGTAATGAGAATTAAATGGAATGAAACTAATCGATAACATCCTTGAATTACAACTGTCTTTTTTGATTTAAACTCATAATAATTGAGGAGTAGAGGTTAACAGTAATTCAACAGCTTTTTAATAGATTATTATAAAGTTTTTAAATTCAAGAAACATTTGTAAACTGTACTCAAAGCTATTATTCAATTATTTAACTTAACAAAAATCATATCTCGTTTAACTTATCACACCAACTATTAAATCATTGTGTGTCTGAATTTAAGATACCTGAATGTTTATAAAAACTTGAGTCTCTACATGGTTCATTAATATTGTGCCACCAAATCTTTCAAACATACTTATTCATGAATATCTGATTATTAAGTGTCGTAATTGGAGTTACATAACAAATTCATATCTTCATCTATGTGTTGAGGTTAGTTCAAGAGGTTTGGGAAGATCGACTTAACTAGTTAGTTGCATTCATTACATACTCATCTCGATTTGGATATTATTGAAAACTAAAGTGTACTGAGTAGTTGTTTTGTCTTTTTATGGATTCTTAATGAAACACAGCTTCTGAGTTAGTAGAATTTTATACAACGTATTTAAGTTATTGTTAGTTAGATTTTTTCAATTAGAGTTATGGAGATCAGTGTTCTTACACACTGAAATCATGAATCTATCATTGTTTGACCACCATTCGAAACTTGGAAGCACTAGATGCCCGACTCATCCTCCCTCCGATCAATCTAGGGATTTCGCGTGACCTCACCCATTTGTCTTTGGTAGTTACTGCTTACAACCGACAGGGTTGAACTCCACTGGTAGCATCTTCTCACTAAAACTTCGAGAATTTCCTCACGAAACTAGTCTCTAATGAGCACATTTTACGATTTTTTCAATTAGAGTTACGGAGACCAGTGTTTTTACACATTGAAATCGTCAATTATTATTATTATTTAGCTCAAACTATATGAAAACTATGTAGCATTCATAATAAACTGTTTAAACAACATATAAGAAATAAATACAAATAATTACATGAATCATTCGGGAAATTGATCAATTACACCATTACATTGGTAAATTATATACACTAGCACTACATATAAGTAATATTTGAAATCACAGTTCCTGATCAACTTATTTGCTTTACGTTTGTATTTATGTAAAGTTTTAGTAGGCCGAAAATGGTTAGAAATTTTTTATTTGTTTCTCTCTACTCTTATTTTTACTCTGATTGGTCAACTACATGTTTACAAAAGGTTAAGCTCCTTAATCAATTTAGGACACTTCATGTATGATTAGATTTTTTGTGAGATTATTTGATCATGTGCAGAGATGAATAAATCATTTTCATCAGAAATTTTAATTTTATTTACTTCTGTGCAAAGATTGCATGTATTATTGTTGAGTGTACTATACCGTTTTATTTCTTTATACGTATATATATTTGAGATAATTAGTACAAGTTTCAGATAAACGATAATTCATACTTTTCGTACACGTTCTCTGACAAGTATTTCAGATATCTTACTGTTCAGTATATTAGGCTTCGTAATGGTTAGACTGTATTTGACACTTCATCAAGCTGTACAATAATATAAACTAAACTCCTTAATAGTCAATTTCATCTCTTTCAGTGTTAACGATTTACTAAGCACATAAACCTAATCTATTTACAGTAGGCGGATATTGTTAGAATCCAATAGGAATAGGTATACGGTATGACTAATACCGAGATACAATTTTAACTATATTAAACTCATATTCTTGAGTCTGAAATTACTTTCAGTTTTAAATATTAAAAGTTGACATTTTCTGAGCGAACAGATTCAAATCATATTTCTTTTCCTCGGAGCTGAAGCATTTGGGTGAATTTAAGATGACCATAAAATCTTCTAATTTTATTTTTGAGAACTCTGACGTGACTCTAACTGCAGTTTGGACCCAAAAAATTATGAACTTTCCTTAAGTGAATCATTATAAGCCAAATTCGGATGAATGAAGCTTGTCATTGTGACAATGCAGGGATTTTAGAGCTGTTATTCAGAAATTTCTATCTTCATTTGTTTATTTGGTATTTTTACATGACATTAACTAGATAAGAAACCATTTCGGAATTTTCATGAATTATTCTTAATTTACAAAAGTCGTTTTCGATCAGTTTATATATTAGGAATCAAGAGTGTTCTCCAAAAATACATTTTCGGCCATAACTTAGCATAGTTGTTCAAAGGCCTATAGTTAGAATTATGGACAGTACCCAAACTGTGGTCACGTAGCTCTCCTTAATTAATATTTAAAGCTACCCACTATTGTACAAACTAGCTTAAAAGCGATGCGATCACAAATTCATGCAGAGAAAACCTTTAGCGATTCATCAGTCCAAACTTGAACTATGCTTTCTAAAAAAACAGTACATCCATTCATTTTTTTCACCTGTTTTAAACACTGACAATGATATTGATGTAAACCTTCTGATTTTAGAAGTACATGCAAATTGTTTTTCACTTATTTAAATGTTTTTAGCACTCCTCAAGTCAACGTTTTCAGGTGACAGTTTATTTTCAATTTTCCGTTTCGTACTACTCTTCGGCACACTATATAATGTTTGGTAATTGAGACAGCTTTATATCATTCATGGAATGATGCAATATTAGCTTACTTAGTTATCCACACTTATGTACGAAGTCCTCAAAGAATACGTTAATACATCCTCAGTAAATGATGATGTCTAAAAATATATGATTTTTTGCCGACTTCTTTGTTCCGAATCAAGTTAAAACCAGTGAATATATCTGATGGTAGATAGAAAACTTATACACTATATGCAAACAGCGTTTTACATTTTAATATTACAGAGAATTCATCTGTCTTCCTAGTAATTCGTTGGAATATCCGTTTAATTTCACTTAAAATTGCGTTTAACTCATACGCGACTGGCAATGGTTCAGACTATATCACATTAGTAAACTGTCGATATCAGGTTTATGCATAAAAGTGTCATGAGAAGGGACCTAATTTCTGTCCTGTGGACTGCTGAATAAACTTTTGATGAGGTTTACAAAATCTGAATTTCCCCACTTAATTATTTTATTACACTTATGAAAATAATCAACTGAGTTATGTTTATTGAAATGTTTACTATATTAAACCTAATCTAACTGTACAAGATTACCAGTTTCATTTGTCGCCTTGTACGTATTATTATACATAGTGGTCGAATAAGGCTGTACACTGAGAAGCAGTTTATCCGCTAGATGTCAAAAACCAACATTTCATTAGATCTGAGAACATATATAGCTGAAGAGACGATCCTCAATAATGACCTTAGGTACCTGAACACAAGATAAATTTAATATAAACTTATTAACTACTGATTTTTTTTAAAGTAACATAAAAGTGCCTCGTTATTTTTCACAGAAAAGATGTTTAGAGGAAAAATTGTGATGATGATTATCTTAACCTCTACGTTTAATCAGTCAGATCTAATTAATTGTGTCTGAATAAATTAAAAACTGATAACTTTTATTTTCACTTTTTTCTTTATTATTTTTTTTGAAGCTACAAATTAAAAGTGAACTAATGGAAAGGAATTTTCAGCAGGGATAGATAGTGGTTAACAGTGTAATCCAGGACGCCTGATTCGTCCTGTTTCAGACTAATCAACTTGATATACCTGCATTCGAGTTGATGATCACTCTAGGGTTCGAACTCATTACTATTCACTTCAGACAAAACCATGTCATCCACTTAGCTACTGAGTTCCGACAGTCACCGGATTATGCACTTAGGTGAAGTTGAACTCATTTGTATTGGTAGTTTGAATCTTCCCATTGATTTTTAGGACTGCGATTGATTAGTCATTTGGCATATGTGTATCCTATGCGGTAAATCAATATAAATGAATCAAACCTCACCGCGCTACACAAGTGAATGCACATTTGGACTCAGTAGTTATGTGGATAGCATGATTTTGCCTGAAGAGAATAGTACTGAGCAAG